AACAATCCGGGTCCTCATTTTACCCACCTCGGAGGGATGGAAGGCTGAGTCAACCTTGAGCCGTTGAGATTTGAACAGCCGAACTGCAGAACTGCAGTCAGCTGAAGTAGCCTGCAGTGCTGCATTTAACCACTGCGCCACCTCGCACCTCTAGTGACTCGCTGAAGGTCGGAGAAAGGTTGTAAAATGGCAAAAACTCACTTCACAACTTTCTTGGTAAGCCACAGACATTGTGGGCTCCGTAGCACCTTCTGAAGCTGATTTTCGTCTGCCTTTCAAAAGGACCATCTCTGAGCTGAATATGCAGCTGGAATATGAGCAGATGCGACGGGAGAAGTTGGAAGCTCAGCTGGACGAAACCCGAGCAGAACTAGGAAAACTCAAAGAGCTACAAGAAAAAAACGAGATGCCTTCGACCCATAAGTTCCCTGTGGTGAGTATCGTTTTTGTTTTAGAATGGGGGGGGGGGGCTATACAATCTTAAACACTCAAAGAGCCATTTGGACCCATTTCCTACAGAAAACACCGGGAGCCACAATACCTGAGTGGGTGTGGCCAACCTGACGCCACTCACTCCCACGGGCGCTGCAGGCCTGTCCCCCTTTCTGTCATCCCGGATCCCATTCCCACCCTGCCAGCCCTCTTATTAGCGAAGCTCTTATCTAAGAGTAGGACTTTACTTTTCTCTACACTGGATTTCATTTTGTTAGATAGGGAACAGCGTTCACGTCTGTCGAGGTCCATCTGGATTAATTTTTAACGTCGCTTGCAGGAGTCACTGGATTTCCCGAAAGAAGAGCCTGACTCAGACGCAGCCGTCTCCGATTTGCCTAAAGTGAGTTTTGACAGCAAGAAAGAGAAGAAGATGAAGAAAAGGCCTCCTTTCAGCCCTGGGGGTGTGATTGTAAAAAGGTTCTAAGAGAAGTAAGGAATAAACAAAAGTAAGCATTTGACTCAAAGGAGAATTGAGTCCAGTCACCTTCCTGTACAATCCTAAGCAGAAAAGTAGGTTAATTAACAATGTCACCTCCTTAACTAGTCGAAGCAGGTTCCACCACAAAACCACGTTCGACTAAAGCGCGCTCGACGAAACCGCGTAGCTGACGTCATCACAGGGCGACAACAGCGCGGAGACAGAAGCACGCCGTAAATGCTGAATCTAAAATTAACCCCTAAACCTA